CTCTCTCTCTCTCCCTCTTTCTCTCCCTCCTCCTTCTCCCCCCCTCCCCCTTTCTCTTTCTCTCTTGTTGTGACAGTGTTATTGTCAATGAAAACTTGAAAACTTTTCGCTCTCTTTCGCGGGATCGCTGAAAGCGCAGACGATGTTGATTTCCCAACGGGTGTCGCCCGTCTATAAATCTACACCCAGGGGTTGTTTAGTCGGTCTGTGCGCGCCGCAAGCAGTACTCACCGTCGTGTATTTTTGATTTGGCAGTTTCTGGAGTGAGGAGGGGGACGCGACGGAGAATATACCGTCGAGCGGAAGTTCCGCGTCACTGAACTTAAACGCGGACCACGCTTGCGATCGAGAAATGAGAAACAGCGGTCGTTTATTCGGTTCACGGGTCGTTTCTCGCGACGCGACCGCCATTTTTACGGCGCGAGTACACCTTGGCAATTACGCGCCGTACCACGGTGTTTATTTCAGGATCGTGTCGCAGAATTTAAAATCACTGTTTCTCACCTAGGTGCTACTCACGTAAACTCTTTCACGCGGGTAACAGATTTTATAATTATGCGGGAATGCAAGAGATAAACCGTTTTCGATTTTCATATTCTTAGAAATTTTTTTGGCTAATAATTTTTTTTAGAATAAACGCAAAGGCAATAGTTTCAAGAATTCAATTCAAAAACGAAATAAATTTATAATTTATAAATCTTTTTAGATATAAAATTATGTAAAAATAATTTTTGCAAGTTGCAAACTTATTTTTATTCGTGTACAGAATCCTTCAATTCATCCAGCAAAGCTCGACAAGCTGAGCCAAACTCTTGTATGGAGATTCTCAGCTCTTTCGACTACTCACATCTTTTCATTCATGCTTTTATACCACTTTGCTACATTTTCTCGCAATTTCGCAATATACAACCTTCTCTTTTTTTCCGTTGGTAGGCTTATTCTCTTTTTTCCTTTCTTTCATTTTACTTTTCTCTCAGTTTTTATTTGTCTTTCTTTTTTCTTGTTTAATCTCAATGAAATAAACTGGAGCTCCGCGAAGTGGCGAAATATCATTGGCCCCGCATTAGGATATTATGAAGGCAATGGGGATAAAAAGATGGTGGAGAAATATCTTGGTACCATCACGGAAAGCATACTGTGAAGGTCTTTAGTGTTTTACATTTGTCATGAACTTTTTTTTCATCTATTTTACAGTATGGTAAATATGGTACTGTTGAATACGCTGTGCAGGGTTGAACCCACTTTTAACGATATTATCTCGCAAGAATTGAATTGATACAACTTATTAACAAAAAATTGACGGTAATTCGAGGACATTTTATATTATTATTTATTTCTGTGCATGTAAGATCATAAATAAAAAAATTAAAATTACACGTTTAGGGGTAAGAAGTTACAAACAATGTTAGAAGTACATTCGCGCGATTGCAAATATTTCAAATACATATCAGCAGGAGCTGCTAAGTAACATTAAATAGACTCTATTGATTTTAGGCGTCCATCGGTAAATTCCGATCGCGCGCGCGCGTGCGCGCGCGGTGTATGTGTGTGTGTGGTGGTGGTAACAGTAAATTCAATCCAACTCTATTTGCCGGCCGACTGTTTCATTAGATAACGATTACCGTCGGCAAACGCGCGTTTGTAGGTGAAGCAAACGATACTCGAGCGTTATATCCGGGTCTCTCGGTTTATGTACGCGCAATTATTATGCAGGCCGCGCGCGGTGTGTGCGGCCCATTACGCATCACATGCGTATCACACAATTAATTTATGTAGATACGCGTGCCTCACAATCGTGCACACATACCGTTGCATCGTCATTGCAGAATATCGTGTTGCACGATTCCTCTTTCTCTGCACATTATTCTCCTTTGTATGAAAGAGCTCATCTATAATTTAATTAATTAATGTAAACCCTTGCGCATTCTGAGCACAGCGTGGTTATCGAACCAGTTTTCGCGAAGTTCGCAAAGTTATAAAGTCGCAAGTTGTCGTTGCATAAGCATGACGTTATAAATGTAATGAAGATTAGAGACGAGAGATAACAAGAAGAGTACAGATCAATCATAAATGAATAGAAGGAAGCGTAAGATTGTTTAAATAATTTTTCTCGTTACAAATTATATTTTTAAATAAATCGTTATCAATTAAAAATTACATTTTTCGCAAATTTTTTTTTGTTAATTAGTATTGCAGCAATAATCTCGCAATTCTAGCAAAGCGTATTAGTAAACTCTGACATTAATCATGTTGTGATTAATTGCAAACTTGACAAATGATAAATTCACCCGCATACACATATGTATATACAATGTATACATATATACACACATATATGTACGCACAATACCTAGCGATTGTCGGTGGTCGAATAGATAATTGATATGAGTATTTCGTACGGATCTAACACGTGCAAAAGGTATAACTGCATTCACCACTGCGAAAAGTGTAATTTGATGACAATGGAACACTAATTATACCGGTAAACCGGTTTAACATTATTTCCGCATAATAAGTATATATGTTATGATACACTTGAATTACCGTCATATTTGTTGAGCAATGAAAAGATACGAAGGGGAATAAAATACGCGAATTGAGGTTTTCATAATGCATCACGCTCGAATAACGTTTCAAAAATGAAAGATACGGAAGAAAACAAACGTGCGTCATTCTCGTTTATCATTAATCGGACTTAATTGTAGCGCTATTATTTTCATAACGCTAATTTTTCAATAACTGTTTATTCTGCAGATGCACAATTTGTGCAAAATTTGTTGGATATTTGTATCGTGTTTTTTAGAAACCGTCATAAGCATTTGTTATGCATTCTCTTCCGAGGTCAAAATTCGTTCGACAGAATCAGTTAATGCACATAAAGAAGAAGGTCTGGTGGATTGTGAAAGAGAAAGGGTGACCCGTCGCGGTCGGTCGGTCGATTTCCATATCATTGAATCCTTTCATTCCCTTCCGGCGACCCTTTCATGCCTAAACCCTCCACCCTCTCGAGATTGTACTGTGTATTCAAATGTGCTTCCACTACGCTCTCCATTATACCGATTCCCATGTCGGATATCTTGCTATCATCTTTAAGTTACTATGTCAACGACAAGATACAAAATATTAAAATAAGTATATTATGCGAGGAAAAGTCGCAAACAGAGATACTTTCAATTGTTTTGAGAATCAAAAATGTTTCTTTACTTTTTGACTTTACTTACGTAGATAAAATATCTGTATAGGTAAATATGCGCTTAAAAAAATATAAAAATTTGTAACCGAATAAAATAAAATAACGTAACATATACGTTTACTTTTAATGGACAATGCTTTAATAATAATATCGTAATTATAAACTTTCTCGTTCTATATAATTACATTTAATGCGACTCCATATATTTTACTATTATTACTTCTGATATTAATTTGCATTTATCTACTTTTTCTGAATTTTTTAA